GAGCCTCAGTGGGAGGCTGAAATATACAGTATTTGTTTAAGTGACTGATTCAGTGTTTCCATGCCAGTTTGTGGCACATGAATACAAATCCATATGAATTTATTTGTGGCACATGAATATGAATCCATATGAGTTTGTGGCACATGAATACAAATCCATATGAGTTTGTTTGTGGCACATGAATACAAATCCATATGAGTTTGTTTGTGGCACATGAATATGAATCCATATGAGTTTGTTTGTGGCACATGAATATGAATCCATACGAGTTTGTTCGTAGCACATGAATACAAATCCATATGAGTTTGTTTGTGGCACATGAATACAAATCCGTATGAGTTTGTGGCACATGAATATGAATCCATATGAGTGTCTGTGTGTAAAGGTAGAAAGTTGAAAGTGAACATAGAAAAGAGTAAGGTGATGAGGGTATCAAATGATTTAGATAAAGAAAAATTGGATATCAAATTGGGGAGGAGTAGTATGGAAGAAGTGAATGTTTTCAGATACTTGGGAGTTGACATGTTGGCAGATGGATTTATGAAGGATGAGGTTAATCATAGAATTGATGAGGGAAAAAAGGTGAGTGGTGCATTGAGGTATATGTGGAGTCAAAAAACGTTATCTATGGAGGCAAAGAAGGGAATGTATGAAAGTATAGTAGTACCAACACTCTTATATGGGTGTGAAGCTTGGGTGGTAAATGCAGCAGCGAGGAGACGGTTGGAGGCAGTGGAGATGTCCTGTCTAAGGGCAATGTGTGGTGTAAATATTATGCAGAAAATTCGGAGTGTGGAAATTAGGAAAAGGTGTGGAGTTTATAAAAGTATTAGTCAGAGGGCAGAAGAGGGGTTATTGAGGTGGTTTGGTCATTTAGAGAGAATGGATCAAAGTAGAATGACATGGAAAGCATATAAATCTATAGGGGAAGGAAGGCGTGGTAGGGGTCGTCCTCGAAAGGGTTGGAGAGAAGGGGTAAAGGAGGTTTTGTGGGCAAGGGGCTTGGACTTCCAGCAAGCGTGCGTGAGCGTGTTAGATAGGAGTGAATGGAGACGAATGGTACTTGGGACCTGACGATCTGTTGGAGTGTGAGCAGGGTAATATTTAGTGAAGGGATTCAGGGAAACTGGTTATTTTCATATAGCCGGACTTGAGTCCTGGAAATGGGAAGTACAATGCCTGCACTTTAAAGGAGGGGTTTGGGATATTGGCAGTTTGGAGGGATATGTTGTGTATCTTTATATGTATATGCTTCTAAACTGTTGTATTCTGAGCACCTCTGCAAAAACAGTGATTATGTGTGAGTGTGGTGAAAGTGTTGAATGATGATGAAAGCATTTTCTTTTTGGGGATTTTCTTTCTTTTTTGGGTCACCCTGCCTCGGTGGGAGATGGCCGACTTGTTGAAAAAAAAAAAAAAAATGAGTGTCTGTGGCACATGAGTGTGAATCCATATGAGTTTGTGGCACATTAATACAAATCACATATTTGATGAACATCTACTTACCAACAGTGTTGCTAGTGCCAATGATGGCTAGAGTAAAGAGAAAAGCAACCTTCCCCATGGTGGCCGTCCTGGTAATGTGTCTCACTGTGTACTCTTCCCTTATATTATAGATGCAGTAGAGTTGCCAGTGACTGCAATTTTTCAACCCTGATAAACATAATTTGATAATGACTAAAGTAAGATAAGCTGCCAGAACTTCCACACATTAATCTAGGCACATAAATTCAGAGATTTATTATTGTTAAATTATTATGTTTGAGATTAATACATTTTATCAATGTAAGTTTAAATGTACAATACAGTATTTATGTTTGGGATAATATTTTGATTACAAAAATTCATTATTATTATTGTTATTATTATTATTATTATTATTATTATTATTATTATTATTATTATTATTATTATTATTATTATTTTTATTGTTGTTGTTGTTTATATATGCAAGTACTTTATTGTAAATTCCAATGGGTCTCTGTCACTTGAAACTGAGTTTGTTTTGAATCTGCCCTATGGTACTTTTTGAGACAAAGATTTGTGGTACCTGTAGTAGTCACCCAAGTGTCTGCATTTTCCATGCACTGTGGGTTCCTCTAGGACTGTGGTTTGGATGCTTCTTTCTTTGCCTTCTTTGAACTGTTTCTGAGGTATGTCTTAGTAAACAGTGGCTGGGAACATTGAAGTGACTAGTTCATGTGATAACCTTAGTCAACTACCTCGCTCAAGTTACCATCCATGCCCTGTGGGAATTAAGGTCTTACTGGTAGTTTGAAGGGTGCTGAGATGGGTCCATTTTCTGGTAATGCTCACTGATGATTCATTTTTGTGCCCAGTAAATCCTGTGTTCACAGCCAAACTACATATTCTGCTCACTGCATTCACTCTAATTGTCAGTCAAAATAGGTTTCATTCCAGGGCCTACTCAAACTCTGTGTGCCCATTCCAGGCTCAAAGATGTGGAGTTGTACTGATCCTTAGAACCTGTTGAGATCCCAGATATTGAACTGGTAGATGCAATACTAAGATGAAAGCTACTATACAGTATCAAGTGCTTTCTTTGGGATATGTCTTGAGGCAGTAGCCATCCATGTGGGCCATGAAGACGAGCAACAAATTGTATAGGATTTGGCAGTGTGTAGGTTTATGGCTCTCCTATTTTCATAGAAAATAAGAGTACAAATAGGCCTTTTTAAAGGCTCCATTCTCATGTCTGTGTTAGATTGATAAAGCCTTTGGAGGGTGAAGTATCTCTCAGTAAAGGTATCCAAGTGTTGCACATACACTATGACACCCTTGGTTTTTACTATGTATATTCTAACCTTTCTGTCATCTCTCTAACTCCAGTAAGTTATGGATAGTAGTATCGAGATTGGGGACATAACCCTTAAGCCAAAAGACAGGAATCATTCCCTGCAAGTACAGCTCACCAAACATTGTACAGCATTAACAGTAGATATAATTAAACTCTGGAGGCCAGAAATCAATGAAATTGGTCAGTAAGAGTTTAGAGGCTGGGCCAGAAGCTGTGAATTGACCCCTGAAACACACCTAGCTGTAAAATCATCACTGGGTATGACTTCATTTCACAGACTACAGTTGTTGTTTTTTTGTGTGTTATAAACACTTCAAACAAAACAAAGACTATTTTTTCTGCACTATAAAAAATGTTTTTACATATAATAAAATATTGTTCAGCACAAAGAAAGTCACGAGCATGTAGAGCATTTCAGGCAGGTTAACACTAATGTTTACAAATTACTTAAGAACCAGGCAGAGTTTATTGAGTAGGTATATAAACATTGATTTAGGCATTAAAATTAGTACCAACAAGGAAACAAACATGCTTATTTTTTCAGCCTCCTGAGGTATATTACAGGCCTAAGAAAAACTTTTTAGTTTATGTTGATGTACTTTAACATTTCATTAATGTAATCTATGCAATTTAACTGCCAGTAACCAAATTACTGTGCATAAATGCAGAGGAAGTGACCGGGGGAAGGGTAGGTAAACATGATAGATAATAGTGTCATAATTCGTTATAATAATAATATTAGTTATATATGTGGCTAGTTATATGTATATGTTGCAAGACCTTGCTGGGGATTATATTCCCAAAACAGGATACTGTACGTCACAATGTGTGGTCACACTGATCGAGATGACTCACAAAATCGTAATGACACGATTGCAAACAAACCATACCACGGGCGGAATTTGAACCCACGGTCAGAGAGTTTCAAAACTCCAGACCGTCACATTAGCCACTGGCTAGTGGCTAACGCAATGGTCTGGAGTTTTGAGACTCTAACCGCGGGTTCAAATCCCGCCCGTGGTATGGTTTTTTTTTCACACTGATCAATATGATGATGTATGATGTTAAAGCAAGAACCATCACATAGGATGGTTTTTCTGTTATACTTCAATCACAAGATGGTTTTCCTATCATACTTCATCACACAGGATAAGATTTTAAGTAAGGTAATGAAGTCTTTGTCTGAGTTGGGTAATTGCAGTAAAACTATAAGTATACTACACTATGTTTAAAGAAAATTTATTTATGTATGTACGTATGTACGGTGGGAGACGGCCGACTTGTTGAAAAAAAAAAATTATTATTATTATTATTATTATTATTATTATTATTATTATTATTATTATTCAAAGGAAATGCTAGACTTATAGTGTATTTTTTTTTTTTTTTTTCAACAAGTCGGCCTTCTCCCACCGAGGCAGGGTGACCCAAAAAAGAAAGAAAATCCCCAAAAAGAAAATACTTTCATCATCTTTCAACACTTTCACCACACTCGCACATTATCACTGTTTTTGCAGAGGTGCTCAGAATACAACAATCTAGAAGCATACACATATAAAGATACACAACATATCCCTCCAAACTGCCAATATCCCAAACCCCTCCTTTAAAGTGCAGGCATTGTACTTCCCATTTCCAGGACTCAAGTCCGACTATATGAAAATAAACCGGTTTCCCTGAATCCCTTCACTAAATATTACCCTGCTCACACTCCAACAGATCGTCAGGTCCCAAGTACCATTCGTCTCCATTCACTCCTATCTAACACGCTCACGCACGCTTGCTGGAAGTCCAAGCCCCTTGCCCACAAAACCTCCTTTACCCCCTCCAACCCTTTCGAGGACGACCCCTACCCCGCCTTCCTTCCCCTATAGATTTATATGCTTTCCATGTCATTCTACTTTGATCCATTCTCTCTAAATGACCAAACCACCTCAACAACCCCTCTTCTGCCCTCTGACTAATACTTTTATTAACTCCACACCTTCTCCTAATTTCCACACTCCGAATTTTCTGCATAATATTTACACCACACATTGCCCTTAGACAGGACAGTAGGTAGGTAGGTAGTAGGTTGGTAGACAGCAACCACCCAGGGAGGTACTACCGTCCTGCCAAGTGAGTGTAAAACAAAAGCCTGTGATTGTTTTACATGATGGTAGGATTGCTGATGTCTTTTGTCTGTCTCATAAATATGCAAGATTAACAGGCATGTCTTGCTACTTCTACTTACACTTAGGTCACACTACACATACATGTACTCATTTATTTATACACACTCATCTGAGTTTTCTTTGATTTTATCTTAATAGTTCTTGGTCTTATTAATTTTCCTTTTATATCCATGGGGAAGTGGAATAAGAATCTTTCCTCCGTAAGCCATGCGTGTTGTAAAAGTCAACTAAAATGCCGGGAACAATGGGCTAGTAACCCCTTTTCCTGTAAAGATTACTAAAAAGAATAAGAAGAAGAAAATTATAGTGTATGACAGTATAAAATCAAGGAACATAAAAGCAAACTGTCAGTGTATGTAGAGTGCACTGGGATCTACATTTACGTCATATGTAGAGAGATGTACAGTAGAACCCTGTATCCACAGATTTGGTTTCTGCAGTTTCAGTTATCCACTGTTTACCATGGTCTGAAAATAATCCTTAGTTTTGCTTAATAATGGACCCATAGTGCAAAAGAAGTGATAGTGGCAGTTCTTCAAAGCCTAAGAGAAGCCATGAAGTGTTGCCCATCAGTGAAAAAATGCTAATTCTCCACTTATTGTGAGTAATTTATCAGTGAAACTTTATCATAGTTATGTATGTAAACCTCTTCAAGGGGGGCTCCTTGGCGTGGTGAAGAGGCTCTTGGTCTGAGGAATTAGACCTATCGGTCTTCTTCCTCAGACCGAACCTAATTACCCCCCAATCTCCCCTCCCCTATCCCATCCTCCCCATCCTCCCCTTTTTCCTTTCCTCCTCCTCCTCCCCACTCCTCCCTTTTGCCCTTCCTCTTTTTGTCCTTTGGGATTTCTCCCACAGGCGCACTAGTTCCTAGGTAGGAGAAAGGACACCGGGGTCCATCCCATTCCGTTGAGGTTTCTTGGCGGTGGCGTAGTTTGCCGTGGAATCTGGATTGCTAGGGATTTTCCCGATCCCTCTCCGGTTTATCCCGGAGTAGCTTTGGGTGTCTTTTGGGGCGACGGGTGTAGCTCTGGAAGCCACCTTTCGGATTCCGGGGGTGGTGGCTGAAGGAGGTATGCTTTGTGGCGGATATCCGGCCCGCCCTCTCTTTTGTCCACCGAGGTAGCTCGGCAGATGTGAGGTTGCTATCCCAGATTGCTGGTTTACTGGGCATGAAGGGTAGGGTATGGCACGGGTTCCATGCTGCTTTCTGCGCTACTAGCGGTGTCGAGTCCTCTTGGCGCGGAGGGAGATTTCTGGCCCTTTCATCCTCCTAGGAAACTATCCCTCCCCGGTCCCCCCTTTTTTTTTCTTTTTTTTTATTTTTATTTTTCTTTTCTTCTTTCTTTTTTTTTCTTAAAAAAAAAAAAGAAAGAAGTAACCCTAACCATGGCAGCCCTAGTCCATGAACCTGGTACCCCCCGGGGCCCCTTCTTGATACCGCACCCCGTTCTGACCCCCCGCTCGTCTTTGGACCACTCTTCAGACATTCCTCATGCCTCTGTACCTATTGCCGGTGCTGTTTCCTCACCCGCTTCAGGTACTGAGGCCTCGATGACTCCTTCGATTTATCAGACCTTCGCTCTCCTCTGACTATGCTTCCGGCCTCTCCCTCTACGGTGCGGCAATTTTCAAATCGCCGACCCGTTCCACGTCGGACCAACTCTGGTCCCACGCCTAAACGTCAACGACAATTACCTGCTGATGATACTTCTCCACCTTCACCTTCTCGTTCTTTCAGAAACGATCGACACGTCCTTCACTACCTTTCCACGCCTCATTTTTCAGACTGAACAGTGGACTAAATTCTTCACTTTACGACCAACTTCCTCTACTGCCTATCTTTCTGACCATAGTATTGGCAAGGCACTCCTACGCCATGTTGGTAAAGATATTTCTTTTCATGCTCTTAAGAGCGGTACGCGCATCATTACCGTACAGAATGCTACCCAGCTTGTGAGCTCTCTCGTCTTACCCATATAGATACTTTTCCCTGTCACCCTTGAAAAAACATCATTCCCTCAATTCTTGTAGTGGTACCTTTTATTCTGCCCCATCCCATAGTTCAACAAAATTTCCAGACATGTGGCACCGACATTCTAGAACAGCTGGAACTCCAGATCTCCCAATCCTCAAGGTAGACACTTACGTTCTTCCTGCCCGGGGGCGGAGACGATACCCTAGCAATGTGGCTCGTTTAACTTTTGACAGCGAGAACTCCCATCCTCCGTTTATATAGCGGGACATCGGTTACAATCGAAAGGTGATCCCTCCCACCACAACAGTGTAAAAAATTGCTGGCGATTTGGCCATCCAGCGAAATATTGCAGATCTATCGCCGAATGCCCAGTCTGTGGTGCCGATGACCATTCTAATACGTCTTGCAATCGATCTCCCTCTTGCCTTAACTGTCATGAGGCTCACCCTTCGTACTCTCGCCGTTGTCAGTCTATTTAAACGAGGGGAAATCCGTTACCTCAAAGAGACAGAAGGTCTCCCTTATGCCATGGCAGTTTCTCATCTCCGCCTCCAAGGGAGACTCCCACGTGTTTCTTATTCCCGTGTTTTCAAAACGTCCCCCCACTTCTGGTATCCCATCTTCTACACCACCCTCTGTGGTTACCTCTCCCATAATCATTTCCTGTATCTAACCCTTTTTGCTGTCCTCGGCTCAGACGTCCCTACTTCAACGCCTCAGTCTAATCTCGCTTCTTCGAGTTCTCTCTTACAAGCCTCAGTATCGACGAGACCTCTACGACACCTCTTCCCAATCGTCCCTCACTTCTCAAAAGTCAAAAAAAGGTCCGGTAACACCTCCTACCCATCTTCCACCTCCTCTTTTACCCTCCCTGTCCCCTGTCCCTAGTTCTTCCCCTCTAAACTGGCTCAGTTACAAGTGCAGAGGTTTCACCCTCCTCCTCGTAATGTACCTTCCTCCCCGTTCCCTCCCAATTTTCTCCTCTTCTGCCACCTCCAGGTTCCTGTCTCTTCTGTCCCCTGCCACGCTTCTCCAGTTCCCTCCACCCTTTCGCCCCCCCCTACCTTGGTACAGTCCAATACAGTTCCAATCTTTACTCATCCTCCCCTACCATTCCCAATATTGTCTCCCATACGACATCTCTGAATTCCGAAACACTTGAAGCAATCTCTGAATATATTGCAGAGACCAAACCATCAATGGACACTGATCCACCTTCCGCTCTCTCTCTCCTCTGCTCCATCTGCGCAACTCCTTTCTTCACACGAAACGTTCCTTCGCTGCTTAAAACATTTTCCACTGCCTCCGCATGTGGACTTTTCTAACCCTTCTAGTCCGTAGGAACCCTTACCTGCGGATTTCAAGTATCTTTATCATTGCCAATCATGGCCTTTTTACAGTGGAATATACGCGGCCTCGGGGGAAAATGGGGGTGAGCTTCAGATGTTACTCTCCCAGTTTGCCCCTGTTGGTGTTTGCTTACAGGAACCAAAATTACACTCTGCTGTTATTTCTCACATCTCAGGCTATAATTATTGTATT